CCCTGAACCCTAAACCTAAACCCTGAACCCTGAACCCTGAACCCTGAACCCTAAACCTGAAACCTAAACCCTGAACCCTGAACCCTAAACCCTGAACCCTAAACCTAAACCCTGAACCATGAACCATGAACCATGAACCATGAACCATGAACCATGAACCATGAACCATGATATTAAAGTATTTATATTAATATATTCATTAAAAAATATAAAATTATTCATTACAAATTTAATAATAATAGTATTTTAACTATATAGTTAAAAAAATTTTATTAGTAACTTTAATGTTTCTAATTATTAAAAATAAAAACAAATTTAGTAGGTAAAAGTGCAAATAAAGGTAAACTTAATATATTATTCCAATAAATGCAATACATCAACATAAACAAATGTTTTAACATATAATTTAACAAATTATTTTCAAAAAACATCTCAAAATAATTGACAAACTTCTACAAAAACAATAAATCATTTCACTTAATCTATAAATTTTCTTCTATCTTTGTTAATGTTATATACAATCCAGGAATATCCACTGTTAAGCAATTCTTTAATATTTTTATTTTTTTTTAACCCTCATAATATGTCTTGTTTCTTTTCAATCATTTATTGTTTTTGCTATTGCTGAAGCTCCTTTTAATATACCTGATGTTATTACCTTTTTAAATCCTTTGTTCTCATTCATTGCATCCTTTGCTCCTTGTATAGCTGCCGAAGCCCCTGCAATCAATGCCTGTGGTAATACATTTTCACCCACAAGTTCTGATGCAACTGCTAAGGCCCCCTCTTTTCCGACTGTTGCCACTCCCTTCCACCCTTTTTTTTTTTCAATTGCTTTTTCTAATCCAGATGCCACTCCTCCTATTAGTGCTGTCGTCCATCCTTTATTTTCATTTTTTTTTTTCTTTTTTTCCTTTTTTTTTTCTTTTTTATCTTTCTCTTTTTTTTTACTTTCCTCATCTTTCTTATTTTTTTTTTTTTTCTTCTTTTTATGTTCCTTTTCTTCCTCTTCTTCCTTTTCTTCCTCTTCTTCCTTTTCTCCCTTTTCTTGTTTTTCTTTTTTTTCATCTTCTGAATCTGATGAATCTGATGACGATGAACCTGATTCTTCCTTTGATAATGAAGGAATTGATTTTTCCTTTAAACTTTTACTATCTTCTAATTCTGATGATCCTCCTGTTTCTCTTGGATCTTCTAGTTCATCTGGACTTGCTTCTTTCCCTTTTTGCTTTTTAAAAATTTTATCACTTAATTCTTTTCCTCTTGCTATTAATGAAGGTTTTCTTTCGATAGTATAACCTTTTTCTAATTTTTCCCCTGTTGCTTCCGTTGGATCTTTTATCCCTTTAACAGAACCTATTCCTAATCCTCCTTCATCTAAATTTTTTGCTCCTTCTGTATATCCTACCCCAGTTGAAGTTTTTACTCCTGTTGTAGAACCTACTCCTAATCCCCCTCCATCTAAAGTTCTTGTTTCTATTGTATATCCTACTCCTGTTGTAGAACCTACGCCTAATCCTCCTCCAACTAAATTTTTTGTTTCTTCTGTAGATCCTACCCCAGTTGAAATTTTTTCTCCACTATAACCTATCCCTGATCCTCCACCAAAAGTTTTTGTTCCTGCTGTAGGTCCTACCTCACTTGAAGTTCTTACTCCTGTAGTAGAACCTATTCCTGATATCCCTCCACCAAAAGTTCTTGTTCCTATTGTAGGTCCTACATCACTTGAAGTTCTTACTCCTGTCGTAGAACCTATCCCTGATCCTCCATCTAAAGTTTTTGTTCCTGCTGTAGGTCCTACCTCACTTGAAGTTCTTACTCCTGTAGTAGAACCTATTCCTGATATCCCTCCACCAAAAGTTCTTGTTCCTATTGTAGGTCCTACATCACTTGAAGTTCTTACTCCTGTCGTAGAACCTATCCCTGATCCTCCATCTAAAGTTTTTGTTCCTGCTGTAGGTCCTACCTCACTTGAAGTTCTTACTCCTGTAGTAGAACCTATTCCTGATATCCCTCCACCAAAAGTTCTTGTTCCTATTGTAGGTCCTACATCACTTGAAGTTCTTACTCCTGTCGTAGAACCTATCCCTGATCCTCCATCTAAAGTTTTTGTTCCTGCTGTAGGTCCTACCTCACTTGAAGTTCTTACTCCTGTAGTAGAACCTATTCCTGATATCCCTCCACCAAAAGTTCTTGTTCCTATTGTAGGTCCTACATCACTTGAAGTTCTTACTCCTGTCGTAGAACCTATCCCTGATCCTCCATCTAAAGTTTTTGTTCCTGCTGTAGGTCCTACCTCACTTGAAGTTCTTACTCCTGTAGTAGAACCTATTCCTGATATCCCTCCACCAAAAGTTCTTGTTCCTATTGTAGGTCCTACATCACTTGAAGTTCTTACTCCTGTCGTAGAACCTATCCCTGATCCTCCATCTAAAGTTTTTGTTTCTACCATAGGTCCTACCTCACTTGAAGTTTTTACTCCTGTCGTAGAACCTATTCCTGATATCCCTCCACGAAAAGTTTTTATTCCCGCTGTAGGTCCTCCCCCATTTGAAGTTCTTACTCCTGCAGTAGAACCTATTCCTGATACCCCTCCAGGTAAATTTTTTGTTCCTACAGTAGGTCCTCCCCCATTTGAAGTTCTTACTCCTGTAGTAGAACCTATTCCTGATCGTCCATTTAATTTTTTTGTTCCTACTGTAGGTCCTACCACACTTGAAGTTCTTACTCTTGCACCAGAACTTATCTCTAATCCTCCATTTAAATTTTTTGTTCCTACTGTAGGTCCTACCCCACTGGAAGTTCTTATTCCTGTATTAGAACCTATTCCTGATCCTCCATTTAAATTTTTTGTTCCTACTGTAGATCCTCCCCCATTTGAAGTTCTTACTCCTGTATTAGAACCTATTCCTGATCCTCCATTTAAATTTTTTGTTCCTACTGTAGGTCCTACCACACTTGAAGTTCTTACTCTTGCACCAGAACTTATCTCTGATCCTCCATTTAAATTTTTTGTTCCTACTGTAGGTCCTACCCCACTTGATGTTCTTACTCCTGTATTAGAACCTACTGCTGATCCTCCATTTAAATTTTTTATTCCTACTGTAGGTCCTACCCCACTTGAAGTTCTTACTCCCGTAGTAGAACCTATTCCTGGTACGCTTCCAGCTGATGTTTTTGTTCCTATTGTAGGTCCTACCCCACTTGAAGTTCTTACTCCTGTAGTAGAACCTATTCCTGATACCCCTCCAGGTAAATTTTTTGTTCCTACTGTAGGTCCTACCTGACTTGATGTTCTTACTCCTGTAGTAGAACCTATTCCTGATACGCCTCCAGGTAAATTTTTTGTTCCTACTGTAGGTCCCACCCCACTTGAAGTTTTTACTCCTGTTGTAGAACCTACCCCTAATCCTCCTGCATATACAGTTTTTGCTCCTTCTGCAGATCCCACTATTGAACCACTTCCTGATCCACCCCTTGCTACTTTTGTGGAATCTAACCCTGATGGTGCTCCTAATTTTGTTCCTGTAGAAACATTTACCCCTCTAGATTTATTTGGTTGCATTTGTTTTTCCTCTGATGAAATTTCTTCTTTTCCTTTTTGTTCTTTAAAATATCTATTTTTTCCTCCTTGTGGACTATTCTCACGATAACATTCTGCTAATATTAATGATTTTCTTATATCCACATTCTTACATGTATTATTTAATATGTTTAATACAAACAATCCATGATTACCAATTAAACATACATCAAAAATGTATAATATTGATAATCCAACCAACACAAAATTAAAGCAATTAAAAAAATTTTGTACCTTCATTTAAATTTAAATAAGATGATATAACCATGTTGAATTTTTAATCAAATTTATTTTAAAAATTAACGAAATATATATATGTATATAAAAAATAAAAAACATTTTTTATGTAATGTTTCTTTTTTTTTAATGAAACATTCTAGTTTTTTATATAAAAATATTAATCTATTTTTTTACCAAATTTATTTTTAACTTCATTTAACCTCATTTTTATTATTTATCTTTTTTTTTTCTTTATATATATCTATAAATTTAATTTTAATCTTATTCTTTATTTTTATTTTATTATTTCTTATTGTTAGTTTATTATTCATATTCTATTTTTCCTAATTTTTATATTTCAAGATATTTTTTTTTTTTTTTTATATTATTTCTTTATTAATTTATATTTAATTTTTTCTTTACTAATTCTAATATAACGTTATTTTTTTTTTTTTTTTTTTTTTTTTTTTTTTTTTATAAACTACATTCCATTATATTTTATTCACTGTACCCGAATTAACAGCATATTTTTTATTGAGCTGAATTTGTACTTTTCTTTTTATTATTCAATCTCAAATTTAATTTTATTCTTTTTATTAATTTATTCCTAATTTAGCCTTTCTTATTGTTTTATTTTAAAATTTCTTTTTTTTATTTTTATAAATTTTTTAATTTTACTATTAATGAAATAATTTCTTTTTTATTTTCTTCTTTATAATATTTTTAGTACTTTATTATAATTTAAATATTTAACTGAACGATTTTAATTTTAATATAATTTTTCTTTTTTTTTATTTTGCTTTTGTTAAACTTTAAAATATTAAAATAATTCTTACATATATTCTTACTAACATTGTAAAATATATTTAATTGTATCCATGAAACATATATTTAAAACTCTATTTTCATTCTTAATTTCTCTTATGCTAATATACCTCTTTTAATATTTTATATTACATTTATTTTTATTTCATATATTTTTTTTCTTCAAAATATACCTTATAATAAATCATATTTTTGTGAACAATTTTTATCCTAATTTTATTTATCAACACTTTATTCTATCAATTTTTATTTCTTTTTTATATGTTAATACAATTTAACTACCAAACAAATATTTCATAATTCCATCAATGTTACATATATATAATTAATAATATTATTTAACATCCTTTATAAATAAACATACATGTATTCATTATTACTTTAATAATATTAACTATATTCAATTATTTTTTTTTTATATCTTACTATTATTTTCACAAATATAATGTAAAATGAATCAACACTATTATATATATATATATACATATATATATATATATGATCCTTATTTTTTTTATTTTTTTTTTTTTTTATTATTATCTTCTTATTAGCAATTGCTTCATTTAATATAAAATGTATTGTTATATTTACATATATCTTTTTCTTAAAAATAATCTTGTTTTATATAAATTCTAAATAAGGAAAATTAATATAATTATATGAATAATTTTATATAAATCTGTTTACAATGCTTGTTCATTAAATCATTATTAACTAAACAAAAACAAAGTATCTATTTAAGTCTTTTTAAATACTTCAAATTATATAATAATCTTCCTCGCATTAAATTTTCTCATATTAAAAATATAACAATTAATTGTAAAACAGAGATCTAAATCATATTTATGGAATTTATGCAATTTATGTAAATTATAGAAATCATGAACATATTTTTTCTTCTTTTTTTTCCCCCCCATGCTTCAGATATTTCAACCATTCTTTTATTTCATAAGTTTACCATTTGTTAAATTTTCCTTCTTTTATCATATTTGTTTTTTTAAATTACTATATTATGTAAAAGATAAAGAGCAAACAATCAGAAAAAATGAAAATAATAATTTTTAAAAAAAAAATAAATATATATATTAATAAAAAGATGTTAATAAAGAAAAATAAATTTTATTAATGTGATTCCACGATATCAGTATTATGTATATAAAAAGGAAAATTCCTGTAAAATATTGCTCATACTGATCATATTGCTCATATCCTATTATGCATTTTTTATTATTTTATATTTTTATTTTTTATTGTTACTCTCTTTAAATAGTAAGATATATATTTTCTTAATGAATTTTAATTTATTTTTTACACCATGAAAAATATATATTAAATTAAAATCTTGTGAATTTATTTGCATAAATATATTATTTCATGAATCGTATATCTGTATAATGTACCTCTTTATATATATATATATATATATTCAAATAATACTCAAAATTATCAACATAAATATTATAACCACTGGAATAGTTTTTTTAATTCTGATTATAGGTTCCTTCGTAATATAAATCATTAATATTTCCACATTATTAAATATGTTAACCGCTTATCATTTTTATAATTACAAAAAAAAAAAAAAAAAAAAAAAAAAAAAATTCCACAATATTTCAATAAGATAAATAAAAATTTTCATAACTATAAATAATAATAGGCATATGATTCCACAACAAAACCCTTGCTCAACAATTTTTATCCATTGTAATATTAATAAGTTATATTAGGAAATAATATACATATATATTATCCCTATATTATTTTTTATAATTTACTGTTTTCATTTTTTTTTTTTACTCTTTTACTATATTATTATATCTTTAAGTATTTAATATAATGATAAAATATTTTATAATCTTAAATTATTTAAAAAAAAATATATATTTTTAAAAATATAGTGACTATTTCTAGAAACTAATTAAATTTACATAAAAGTCCAAGTTCATTCTCATAATAATAAAAAGTATTTTTATAAATATAAATAAAAAAAAAAAAATTTTTATTTTTATTCAGACATAAAACAAAATATATTTATCATTTTACGTAAAATTTATTATGTAAAAATATCTATATGTTATCTTTTTATATATGAAGAAATATAAATCATAATTAAATCATAACAATTAAGCAATATATTTACAAAAAGGTAATAAAAAAATGTATTCATTAAAAAGGTCAATATATATTTTATTGTAATAAAATTATTAATGTAAATTCATTTAATTATAAAAAAAAATTACTATTCTTATAAAAATGAAAAACTTTCATTATATAATAAAAATTTGATTCAAACAACAAACCAATATATATATATATATATATAAATAACCTTATTTCTATATAAAATAAATTTTACTGCTCAAATTAATATAAAATTTTCCAAATGCTAAAATAAATTCGCATGCATATATTCATAAATTTAAAAAAAAAAAAAAAAAAAATTATACAAAGAATATATTAATAAGATAATAAAAAAAATATATATAATATAATAATGATATTCTTATAAATTCCCTTTTCATTAATAATATAAAAGTATTTTTAATTCTTAATTCAAAGATGTATTACTATCATAATTTTTTTTTTTTTACGAGAATATTTTCTTTTCATTAAAAAGCTTCTGTAATATTATTCAATGAAATAATATATTTTATTATTATAACCTTTTCCTTTTATCATATATGAACATCTTAACAATTTTTATAATTATATATTTTAACTCATTTTCCTATTATATAATCTACATAATGCATTATGATAAAATTTTTTTTTTTTCTTTTTTTTTTTTGTTTCTAAATCATTTTTTTATAAATTATATCAATAATCATATTTAATTAATTTTAACTGAAAAATTAGTGTAATTATTTAAGGTATATTATATTCTGTTTATATATATTTCTCTATTATATCAAATTTTTACCAATTATTATGTATTCAAATAAACTTACATGTGAAATTTCGGAATTCTAAATTAAAACTATATTTTATGAAATTGTTATAAATATAATTTATAATAGAAACAAAAATTATATATTTTTTTTTTTTTTTTTATTTTGTCATATTATTTTTCGTTTTCTGTTTATAAAAAAAAAAAAAAAAATAATATTTCATATATGTTAACTAAAAAGTTTTGTTTATTAAACATAAAGTTTAAAAAGGAAATATTTGTTATGAAAAGGATATTATATTATTTTCATAAATATAAATTGTATTTTTTGCATTTAATACACATATATATCATGTTCATAATTATATTTACATAATATATATATTTATACTACTTTATTCATCTTTTTCTAGTAAGTCTGCTAATTCCGATTGTGTTTTTATATCTTTGCTACTACACCGATAGGCTACTTCTCCCATTCTTATAACATATATGAAGTCACAGCATGATAATGCGTGTGTGTTATGAGAAATTATTATAACCGTATTATTACAAAAGTAATTTTTTATAATATAATTAAATGGCTTTACCTTACCAATTAAAGAATAATTTAACTCTAAATCAACATTATCAAAATTAAAAATAGGAATTTCATCAATTAATATTAATTTATATTTGTATCTGTTTAAAAAAAGTCGAACTAATGATAAGTATCGCATGCATTCATCCGTTAAAAGAATCCTATTACTTGAATCATTAATTTTTCCTTTTTTTTTTTTTTTTTCTTTATTCTTTTTTTTTGGTTGTTTATATATATATTTATCTAAATCAGTAAAACTTAAATTTATGCCAAATAATTTAAAAGTGTCAACAATTTCTTCATCACTAAAATTTTGATGAGGATCAATAAGCATTCTTATATTCCAATTAAAAAAAAAAAGCGTTGATTGAGGTAGTACACCAATAATATTATCTTTTTCTCTTCTATTAATTTTTCTAATATCTATTCCTTCAATTGTTATTTTTCCTTCATTAAAAGGAAGTAATCCAAGTATAGACAAAATGATAGTACTTTTTCCTGATCCTGATTTACCTATTATACCAATTTTCTGATTTTTTAATGCATACATGTTAATGTTTTTTAAATATGATTCTTCATCTACGTAACAATAAGTATTACTTTTTTTATCTAAAAGTACTTTTCTTTTGTAACTAACAAAGAGATTTTCAATATATATACTATACTTTTTTTTTAATTCATCTACATAAAAAAGATCTGTTTTATCATTCAAAGATAATTTTTTACCCATATAACCAGAGATGTTTTTTTTTTTTTTTTTTTTTTTTTCTTGTTCTCCTTCATCCTCTATATTTAAACATTGCATTCCATTAGACATTTTTGATAATTCTTCTAATCTCTGCACACAACACATTTCTTTTTCTACATATGTATAATCACAAAGGAGAATTTTTATAATTATGCCAATCCTTGAAGAAAAGGTAATACAATAGCCAATTGTACTTAACATTTTTTCATAATTAGTTTCTTTTTGCATATTAGGAATAATATTAAAAATTAAAAGAGGATACATTATATAATAAGTAGTTAATATTAAAACAATAAATCTCGTATACAAAGAAGCCCATATTGTTATTGATCTTTTTGAAAGACTATAATTTTTAAAAAGAGTTATATAGTGTTCATATATGTTTAAGAAGTAAACATTTTTTTTATATAAGTTAATTATATTTTTTCCTAATATAATATTACTATACATGTTACATAAAGGAGAATGAGCCCTTAAGTAACCTCTTTGGGCTTCTTTAAACCCTTCTGAATATTTTTTAAAAACAAAAAAGTAAATTAATAAAATTATACAAGGAAAAATAAAAATAGTATCCTTCATCAAAAAAATTAATAAAACAACAGACAAAAAAAGTCGAAAAAAAACAAAAACAGCCTTATATATTCTCTTCAAAAATCCATAATCCAATGAATAAATATCAGTTATAAACCTATTTATAATATTACCTAAATTATTATTATAATACACATGTAATGGAATACTTAAAATACTCACCAATACATTTGTGTGAACTTTTATGGCTGATAATAATGTACCATGTAATATCAATATAAAACAGATAAAGGAAGCTATTGATGATATTATCGGAAATAATACAAATAAATGTAAATATTTAGTTTGTTGTTGTAGAATTTTATTTGAATATTCATCATCTTTTCTTGAAATTATACTAATCATGTATAACAGGAAATTTTTTATTTCTTCTGTAAATGATGATATAAGCATAAAAAGTACTATATAAAATATTAATACATAACCAACGTGTTTTAAATACCATATGTATGTTGTCAATTGTATCTTTCCTTTAAAATATGACTCATCTTCATCAACACCAATATATGAGATACTTAAATTGTCACCGTGTTCTAATTCTAACGATGAATTCTTACTAATATTTTTATATTCAAATAAATTATTGTCTTCTTCTATCAATTTTTTAATAGAATCATTATTCTTATTTTTACTATTACCAATATTTTTATCATTATCTAAATATATTGACGTAATTATTTTTTCTTTATTATGTTGTTTAAAACTGTCATTATTTATCTTAAAGGAATAATTTATTTCTGGCCTTTTTGATAAAGTAGATTTCTTAAAATTCATATAATCATTTTTTTTATTATATTTGTTTCCATTAAAATCATATTTTAATTTTATATTATTTATTGTTAATTTTTTTTTATTCAAGTTATTTTCTTTTTTTATAGTTATATTATTTTCCTTTATGTATTTTGATATATTTCCATTATAATGCAAAGTGAAATTTTCCAACTTATAAATGTCTACATTATAATGAATATTATCTAGAGTTTCATTAGTTAAAAAACTCTCAAATGTATTCTTATTCATAGATGCAATAAAACTACAATTATCTTTAAAATATTTATTTTGTTCTTCTCTACAAAATAAATTATAAAATATATTTTTAGATATAGATGGATCTAGATATGTAAAAACATCATCAAGTAAATACAAATAGGTAATATTTTTCTTTCTCACGTGATTTCTAATGTAACTATAGAATAAATCATTCTGCATATTTGTTTCATTTTTATTGTAACTATCATTTATTAAATCATGCATATTAATTTCTTTATTAAGTCGTTTTCTCATAATTCTTTCTTTCTCACAATTATAACCCAATTTGTACATATGTATATAGTGTTGATACAAAGATCTTGCCAATGAAATCCTTGTTTTTTGGCCTTCACTTAAATTATTTTCATCACTAATATATCTCATATCTTCATCTTTATATGATTTTATATCAAGTAACAAGTGGCTTTGCATTATTGTAAGTCGATAAATAAATGAATTGTACTCATTACCAAATAAAATCATTGATCTAATATTTCCAATTGGTACCCAACTATGCTGTGGAGTATATAAAATTTGCATATTATACAAAAAATTTTTAATATACATATAACCGTAAGTTAACTTAAGATAACCTAAAATTGAATGAAAAAGTGCAGTTTTACCTGATCCTACATTTCCTATAATTATAGCTAAAGTGTTATTTTTTAAATTAAAATTTATATTTTTCAAAATGTAATTATCACATTTACTAGGATATTCTTGAATTAAACTAAATGAACAATTCTCTAATTTTATTATTTCCTTATTTTCTTTTTTCTTTACCATGTTTTTATTATCTTTATCATCTATCTCTTTTTTGGGATGAATGCTATTATTATTATCATCTCTGCAATTTATTGTGAATTCGAAATATTCTTTTTCTATATTTTCATTTATATTGTAACTTAATCCTGATAATATTTCTCTATTTATGGTATTTATTTTCTTCTTTCTTTTACTAAAAAAGAAAAAAGAAAACAAATTTACAAACCTTATTTTTTTCTTGTTATAAATCTCTTGAAGCAATAACTTCCTTGCTTCTTCATTCTCAATATATGTTTCACCAGTTGTGATATTAAAATCTGTGCTTCTTGAAATATATTTAAAATAATTATTAATATCATTGTAATATATGTGATGATATACATATTTATTTATTCTCCTTATATTTACTACACCTTCTATTAAGTTATTCATTAAATTTGGAAAATTGATAACACCTGAAATCAATGACTTATATACAAATAGAGGCATAATAATAGAACTAAAATTAATTTCCTTTTTATCATTTAATTTCTCTCTTATAAAAAAAAAAAATAGTACCACTTCAATTATATCAGCCGATATTGCATTTATATAAATTCCTATATTACCCAAATAAAGTCTTATTTTACAAAATTTCATTTCCTTTTTTCGAAAAAAATTTACATAATTAAATGCAATAGATTCCCAATTAAACATCTTTATTAATTTAAACTTATTCAATATATGATGCATATTATCTATTCTTCTATCCCTATATTTTAAATATTTTCTCTTAAATATGCTTGGTAAAAATTCAAATAAAATCACTGAACTATATAATACAATAGATAATGATAGTGCATGTATTACTGCATTATATCCCATCTTAATATAAAAAACATAATAAGACATGTAAAATTTAACAAATATATTAGATAATTGAATAATTGATCCAATAAAAAGAACTAAAGATGGTATATCAGAAAACATAACGTTATAAATATTTATATGGGCAATATTCTTCAGTTTTATTTCTTCCCCTTTTTTATCCTTTTCCTTTTTAAAGAAGTTTATTACACAATGTTTTTTACTAATCTCCTTATCATGATTTTCTGCATAAAAATTACTTGTACAAGAAAAATTGTTATTAATGTTATAATCTGAAATTCGTCCATCAATTTCATCAATTCTAAAACCTGAAATTTTCTCTCTATGTTTATATATATAATCATTTATTAAATGGTTCTCATAGCTATTTAAATTAATTTTATATAGGAAATGCATCATTGATATCTTCATATTTACCAAAAGCTCGTTATAATAAAAATTTAAAATAGAATCAAAAAAAAATTCTGATACTAATAAAATAACTACAAATAATCCAAATAGTAAATTCGAATTAGTAAGAAATAAAGGAAATGATGAAATCATTTCACCCTTTAGAAGCAACATGTATATATTTATACAACCCCCTGAACTAATTACAAATAATGTATGTAAAATATTAAAAATAAAAATTAAAATTATGTGAAATTTAAATGTTTTAAAAATTGACAAAATAACACTATTATAATATACATTATATTCTTCATTTCTTCTTATTTTATCTGAATCATAATTGTATTCTACATTTATATCTTTTTTTTTATAAAAATTATTAACGAAAACAGATTCTTTTACATGTATATTTCTTAAATTTTGTTCTAATTTAGATATATAGAAAGAAATATTATCATTTTTTTGTATTTTAGGAAATTCAATCTCATCTTTTTTAAGGCTATCTATAAGCTCTGTTACCCAATGAAATGTTATAAAACTCAACCATGACACATATGTAGTTTCTTTTTTCTCATTATACTTATAGTAATCCTCTACTCTCTTTTCATATATACTCATATTTTTATAACATATTTTATTTTCTATTTTTATTTTACGTTTTCTTCTTATAATATATATATCATATAAACTAAATAGAAAAAAAAAAAATATCAAAATATTAAGACTATATTTCCTTATAAAAAATTAAATGTTTTCATAAGTATCCCTATATTGAGATACTAAATATAAATATAATCATAAAAGAATAACTATTGAAATACAATAACCAAAAAAAATGTTCATTTTGCTTAAATTAATAACACTATGTTGATAAACTACAAATATACTTATTACAGTATTTGTATTAAATAATATTCTGTAAATAATATATATGTATTAAATATTATAAATTAAAATATAAATTTGAAAAAAAAAATGTTATCATAAGATACTTTATAATTAGAACATATAATAAAAGAAATAGAAATTATTTATATTTTTATAAAAAAATAATTTTATGAATAAAATAACCATATAATATAAATTGTGTATCTCTAAAAATATAATAGATATTAAAGGAAAATGAAAATATAAATATTATACATTCTTATAGTATTACAAAAATAAAACACAAGATATAGATATATAAATTAGATACTTTAAAACGTGTAAAAGTTATGCGAATAAAATTATTTCAAATGTAAAATGAATGCAACATAAAAAATGAAATGATATTATTAGAAAAAAAAAAAATATTTAAAATAAATATATTATTTAATAAATATTCATTTTTTAAATATATCTTACTTAAAATATCATTTCTTTATTATAGTTACATAAAATTATTAAATCGAAAAAAATGTTCTAACAGAAATGTATTTTGTATTATCATATCATGTAATATGTATAAATATATTTCTGTATAGTAAATGTTTAAGTTATTTTTTAAGAAACTAAATTAGTTCTAATTATCTTATAAAAAAAGAAAAATTTAAATGATAATAATTTTTTTAATTTACTATGTATTTTTTTTTTTTTTTTTTTTTTTTTTTTTTATTGTTACCTTTTTTGTTACATATGTGGCTTATAAACTTATTTTTTATTTTTATTTTTTCTTTCAAATAATTAGAAGTTAAACAATTTTTTTTTTTTTTATTTATAATTTTAAATTTTATTTTTTCATTTGTGTATTTTT